ATGTAGTCCCTTGGCAGCATCAAGGCCACACGTGGCCTCCAGATCCCCAAATGTAGTCCCTTGGCAGCATCAAGGCCACACGTGGCCTCCAGATCTCCAAATGCAGTCTCTCTGCAAAGTCCAAACTTCACAGAACAAATTCCTTAGAATTGGTTCTGTACAGTTTGGATTCAATCAAATGGCTGCACTCAAAGATCCAGAAGGCCACATGTGGCCCCAGGGCTGCAGGTCCCCACCCCCACTCCCTCTGATGGTATAACGCCAGACACCACTATCATCTGCCTCTTCTACAGACATAACAATGGGCTTCCAAGTGCCACCTCATCTTTAAAATTGCCTCTGTTCCACTTCAGTCACACTTTGGGGTATGGCCAAGGCCTAGGCCTCATTGTTACTAAAAACATGTTTCAGTCCAAAATTTCTAACTTTCACTGAATCTTTCAGTGAAATCTTTCACTGAATGGAATCCTCTCATCCTTCTTTCCACTTCATTAACATGAATAAGTCTCTTCTTTGCCCCATCATCTTGATCTCTAGCCCCTCAACCCCCTTTGGGATTTTTTCAGCCTGGGGATAGCCCCGATTAACCAGAGCATCATTAACACCTTTGAATTTTTCACTCTTGTGGCATCGACTATACCTACTATTTTTTCAATCCAAAGTTGCTGAGCAATGATGGAGTGACAAACCACAAATCTCTGCCAATTAACCTCAGCTGCACTCTTGTGGCAAAGTAGCAAGCAATTTACTCATCTCTTTGTGAATCATGATTGACCCTAGGAGCAATTCCAAACATTTCCCATTCTCCTTAGTGTTTAACGCTATCCAGTTCCCTCTCACTGTCAGCAACTGCATGAACTCTCACTAATCGTATGTGAAAGTCCTCATCCTGGCTCTCTCATTTAAACAAGGACTGTTTCAACTATTATACAGAACAGTCTGGAGGTTACTTAAAAATTTAAAAATAGAACTATCATATGACCCAGCAATCCCCTCATTCCACATAACCAAAAAGTAAATAAATAAATACAATCTTATCTTCAAAAGATATTTGTCCTCCCATGTCAATGGCAGCATTACTCACAATAGCCAAGGCAGGGAATAAATCTAAGAATTCTACAACAGAGGAAGGGATGAAGAAATTGTAGTGTATATGTACAATGGAATATTAATCAGTCTTAAAAAAGAAGGAAATCCTGCCATTTGCAGCAACATAGATGAACTTAGATGTCATTTCACTATGAGAAATAACCCAATTATAGAAAGACAAATACTGCATGTCTCATTTTCATGTGGAATCATAGTAGCTGAGATACAGGGTGGTTACCAGGGGGAAGTAAAGGAGTATATAAACTCTCAGTTATGGAACAAATACGTTCTGAAGATCTAATGTACAGACTGGTGGCTACAGTTAATAATATCCTGTATACATGAAATTCACTACGATAGAACGGAGCTCAAAGTTTACCTTTGGAGATTATCTTTCATCTGTGTTAACAACATAGAGAAATATTGCTAATTTGAATTAAATTTTGGTTATGGAAAACAAAGATAATTTTAAAGAAGATCCAATCAGGGTAATTTTCACTATGAGATTAAATGCTCATAAATTCTTATTCTAATAAAAAAGAAATCTCAAATCTGAACATTTTAAATATAAAATGTAGCTATTTTTAAAATAAATAATAATGCCCAAATTCAAAAGTAAAGTGCACAAGTAACAAGAAAAACATTTGGCTACTCTCTCGATCCAAATGTTTAAAAAATCATTCTAAAAAATATTACATAGTCAGATCCTTGGGGAAAGGTCTGAGCCATTTAACACCCAACTGATGCTGTCGCTGTACTGAACAAATTCACATTTGAGTTTATTTTCTAAGGCAAACATTAAATGAGCTTAGGGAATGTTGGGTCAAAGATGAGTGAACCATAAATAAAGCTCGCTTAAAAAATGAGAGTAAAACATTTAAAGAATATGGGTGAGAAAAAAATTTTGGAAAGCAATTAAGTCATTCATTAGTATTAAATGCAAATGTCCTCTCCAAAACTCAATTTACATATATTTCTTGTTATTTTATAAAACGTTGTAGGGTCAAGGGCAGAAAATAACCTGTGATAGAGATGGTTTATAAGTAGGCTATGATAAGGTCACCATGTAACCTCAGAAAAAAGGACAAGGACCTCCCCAAGTAGGTCTTTAAAAAGGAAGCCATCCTTGTCCAATTCCGGATAAGCTGTAATCTCAGAAAAGATAACAGTGCCTTTTCAAAGACTATGTAGCAAGAAGGATTGTGGATAACTTAACAGATTTTATTTAAATTGGTAGTTGTAGAGTGAAATTCATCTGTGTATCAGTGATTCTCAAGCAAGCTTGTACCGGCCAACCACTGTTAGAGCTATGCAGATTTCTAACTGTTCTAGTATTTTGTAAAATCATTAGGAATTGTTATGTTAAAGACCTAGAAAAATTGTAATTTTATACATCTTTACCATAACAATTTAACATATACTTACTTGATGATATTCCTATTTTAGCATTAGCTCTTTAAAATCAGCTTCCTGTATTTCCATTATCATGTAAATATTAATATTATATTGCCTCCCCAATTCAGATTCGTTGCAGTGATTCCCAGGGTGAGCCATACGACCTGATACCTCTCTCTTTTTCCTACCTCTTACCATTCATCCTTTTGTGAAGGGAAAAACTCCTTCTTTGTCAAATTTGTCCCATATCTTTCAGTTCCTTAGTCACCTCCGTTTCTTTTCTAACTCCAGGGTGGACTTCAAGGATGTGTGTCCTATACAGCTGGACAGAGCTCGGAAGCCCCATGTTCAGAAGGGCCCTGAACTTGGCCCTCCGCTCTGCTGCTGCCATCCTGAAAATCTTAATACTTTTTAAACAAGGGGCCCCATGGTTTCATGTTGCTTGGGTGCTTCAAATTGTGTAGGCAGCGCTCCCTACCGCACTCCACTGTGAAGCAGGCTCCGCTGTCTTTCTGTGCCCCAGTCATGCCAACCTCCCCTCACCTCAGACCCTGTGTGCTCCGTTTCTTCATTCTGCAGTGCCGTCCACTAGCTCTCCACACAGCTGGCTCTTTCCCAACCTTTGGTCTCAACTCCAATGTCAACTTCTCCAGCAGACCTTACCTGACTTCTTTGTCTAAAGCCCTTCTTCTAAGCATTCTGTGCTATGATCCATTTGTTTCCTTCAAGGCACTTGACTCTGCTCAAGACCCCCCATGCTCCCCTTCTGCTCCTCCAGTGTCCCCTGAAAACATCCTGTCACCTCAGTACAAATCAAAGTGTGTACATATACGTGTACACAAACACACAGTCAGTCCATTATTGATTAAAATCTGTCCTTAACGAGTGTCTGGCTTTATCTTTGACCATAGCACCTGAAATATAAGTGTTCAATATTAATTTGTTGGATGAATAAGTAAGTTAATAACAGTAATAAATGATGCTTCATGGAGCAATTTTTCTGGAGATTTTTTTCCCCCTGGTTAAAGCTATTATGCAGTTTGGGTATTTCATCCATTATAATTCAGCAGCCTTTTCTAGAGATGTCCTCCCTATACCAGGGCCCTTATTTACTTGAAATAAGATACCTAAGAATGTGAGATTTATATGTGTGTACATTATAAGTTTTGCTGCCTTTCTGTCAATTTATGATCCCAGAAAGGAATTCGATTTCTTAAACCAAAGAAAATGTGCAGCTTTGTAAGTTCTGGCACTCTTTGGAAGGAAAGTAAAGAACAGCCATTGACAACATGATGACAACTCCAGAAAAATCAGCTTAAGCTCAAAGAGCAACAAGAACCAGCGTCCAATGCCGAGGGAGGGGGGCTGTAGTAAAACTCCAACATTAACAAAGTGTGATGAGAATATAAAGTGAGGTAAACCTCTCAGGTTTGCAACTGGGCATCAATTATTTTGGCTACAAAAATACTCATAATCCTTGACTCAGATCCTCTACTCTAGTGCTTTACTCTATGAAAGTATAATTTATGTAATATATGGAAAGCTATCTTCACAAACATGTTTATGAGTGGTGTTTATAATATTAAAAATGAAAAATAAACTAAATGTCCAAATTTAAGGGAAATGATTTACTAAATTGGAGTAATTTTACTCAATTAAAAAGTTTGTTATTGGGAAAAATTACCCTGTGCGACAAGTTGGAGAAATATTTACTATACGAAATTTCTGAGTTAAATATTTAAGAACAAAAATACATGAATATAAAGATCAAATCTTAACAAAATCAGACAAATAGAAAAATGTTTATAGGCAGTTGATTCAAGAGCTGGATAAAAATAAATAAAATCTTAAAATCAGACATGTAGAAAAAACATTAAAACGTAGCTTAAGAGGTAGATTTATGAACAATATGTTTAATTTCTTTATTTTTTGTGAATGTAAGATTTATGAAGATATATTTTAAATATGTCTAAAAGAAACATGGTTTTTCATTGCATAATATCATTTTCCATGTAGGCCAGTGTGAGCTCTTAAAAGAGCTTGCTGTCTAAATATTTCAGTTTAAAATCAAAATACAAATGTAAAAAATGTTAATAAATTAATTTTTCAGACGGAAAGTATACTTTTCTGCATTAATTCAACATAGATGTGTTTACTTAAAAGAAAACAAAAAACACAGTTAAGCGACCTTGAATATTATCTTTTTTCCCCCCAAACATGTTAAATTTAAATGAATTGAACAAAATTTTAGACACTATTTAATTCCAAAGCAATGTATTAAAAACAATGGCTTGGTACTTACGGGGATACAATATTCCACCATTGGGTAATGCAATTTGTGACCTTTTGCTGTTCGACCAGAAAAAAAGCAACTCTGGCAGACATCGTAATTAAAATGCTTTAGACTTCTATACCTAAAGAGAAGAAAAGAAGATCCATTGGCTTGCATTCCTATTATTTAGTCCAAATCAATCATTTGTGGTAAGGAATCTCATTTATCCAAATCACGAAGGAAATAAAGTAAAATTCGGGATTTCAAGTCTCTAAAACAGGGGTCCTCAAACTTTTTAAACAGGGGGCCAGTTTACTGTCCCTCAGACTGTTAGAGGGCCGGACTGCGGGCCCTGGGACGAGTCGGCCGCTAAGCAGGACAGGCAGTGGCGGCAAAAACACCCGGCGGGCCGGATAAATGTCCTAGGTGGGCTGCATGTGGCCTGCGGGCCGTAGTTTGAGGACACCTGCTCTAGAACATGTGTCCATGTGTTTATAAATGATGAAGAGACAAATATTCATGTCTGAAGATGTTCTTTACTGTTTCTTTTCTTCCATGGAAAATGATAGAGAAGGAAAGAATTGTATTTGTCAGCTTGGCAGATCACATTTTAAAATATCAATTATACCATCAATTAGAAATGAAGCCTGAAATTCCTTCACAAAGGTATTAGTTTCTTCATTTCATTTGTATACTTGGCTTAAACTAGTCATTAGAAAAAAAAAATTAAAATAGAGAAAGGCCCTAGAAGAGGAACAACCTAAATGACACCTTTATCACAATGCATTCTGGAATGGAAATGGTGTTTTTAGACTTCTCACTTAAGAGTGACAATGCACATTAATTTCCATTTGCAGAATCGTATTTAGAGGAGTGAAACTCTAAATAGATGATGGTATTTTCTATAGATCTGAGCGGAAAACGTCTTCTCTTGAATCTTCCATGCTGTTACCATGGCTAGTGGAACTAAGAATATGAATTATACTCATATGTACAGGAAGAAATGAAATGACAGGACCAACAGAAGGAAAAGGACACACAATTTAAAGGTTATGTGAGATTAATATAGTCAACTATGAAGGGCTGAGTAGCTTCTAAAATGACCTGCAAAACCACTTGCAAATCAATCTGAAGGAACTCAGTCTCCACGCACTATCACCAGCTTACTTTCTCAAGGTTTGAAACAATCACATACAGTATCTGTCGACCCACCGGCATGGTTTGACAAAGATGACTGGCATCTTTTCTTCTACCAAGAATTGTGTTTATTGCTGAATACTCCCTTGGCAGATAGCCAATATCCCTGTTTCGTTGGTAAGAGACCCTTGTGCTGTTAGTCCATGTTAGCAAAGTGCCCTGTGAAAAAGACTATTTCTCAGTCTCTCTTGCTGATAGTGGTGACCACTGCAAGTTGAAGTCACTGGGTGGGAATTCTAGTTGGTATTTCAAGGGACGACACAGTTGGGAAGAGGCAAGCTCCGTCTTCCTTATTCCTGAAAATGAACCTGACATCCGCAAGCGCCATCTTGTTAGCATGAGGTGACCTTAAAGGTGGAAGTCAGATATTAGGGGTGACAGAGAATAAAAACAGAACTGGGGACCCAGGACAATACAGAGGAACCAGATCAGCCTTGCATCGCCTACCTACACACTTTGTTTACAAGAAAAAAAAATATTTTTTTTATTTATGCAACTAATGTATCTATTTATGCTACTATAAAGTGGTTACATGGGATTCCAACTGAAAAAAAAAATTCCCAGCTAACAAAACAATCTGTAAATCTAAGATTTAACTAAAATTTAATTTGAAAGTAATCAGTGAAATGCTCCAGCAGTATTTATAAAAGTTTGGAGAAAGTGTGCATATCCAGAGGAAGAGCGTGCTAGACAATCTAAAGTCAAGTGTATTTTACAATGCAAATACTCCTCTATCTTTATTTCTGCACTTGGCTTTTCATTCTTCCTGTAGCCTCAGAGAAGGAGGTATCTCTTTACAACTAACAGCTAATCAGACCTCTTCTACCTTAGCCCCATTTTACTATTGGAATCATTCTTACATTCATTCCCTTCATGCATAATCTTTATACAAAATTAAGTCAGCATTAGCGTAAAGAAATGTTTGCTTGGCCCTGTCTCTAAGCCAGGTATCAACTAGAGACATAGTTCTCTTTCATTTGGAAACTAAAACTTTTAGATGCATGATCATATTCTCGACATAGAAAGAAGACAGTATATTATCTACCACCTTGCCATTTTCAATATCCTGACTTACTTTCAAGTCAGAGCTAGAATTCTTGAACAAGCTCTTTGCACATAATGACCTACTTATTAATATCTTCCTGAGCTTGAGACCTACCTTCCATCCTTATCACGACATGGAATGCATTCTAAGGTTCCCAGTGACTACTCCTGATTCAAAGGTCTGTTCTCACATAAGATCTTTTTAGAATCTCTCTGCTGTACACATACGTCTACCATCTTTCTAAAGCCTTCTTTTTGATTTCCACAACACTATGCTTCCCTCCCTAAATAAAACTGCTCATCTTTCTGCCCCTGAAATCCCTCTTTTCCATCTGCCTTCTACTCAGTAGCATCATTGCCCAGGTTTTTCTGTTATGTCCACTTAATGGATAAATTCAGTGACCTACCTGTAAGCTTAGCTACTATCCCACGAATGATGTTACTGGTAATCATGAAAAGAGCTAATATTTACTGACTAAGCAGTAAATTGTTGTTTGTGGTAGGTACTTCCCTAGATGCTTTTCATGTGGCCACTTTCCCTGTGAGGAAACACTCATTGAATTTGAAGTTGAAGAAACTCAGGTTCAGGAAGGCCGAGTAACTTATGCAAAGTCTTAGAGCTAAATAGCAGATCCACAAGGCAAATCCAAGCAGCGTAACTGCAGAGCTAGTTCTTAACACACTGTCTCCTGCACTTCCTGTTCAGCCTTGCTCGCTGACCACTGGTCCACTTCTTATCTTCCTCACGGAAATGCTTACAGGTAAATTTTATGTTAATACCAAAAACATAAATGCCTGAAATTTAACACTTAACATTGTTTACCCTTTATGATGAGTCTTTCATATTTTTCTTATGAATTATTTCAAGTTCATTCAAAAGTCGAGAGAATAATCTATGGATCAACAACTCAGCTGTTAAATATTAATATTTTGCTACAGTTACTTAAGGCCATTTTTTATTCAAGAAATTAAACTTTAAAGGTCATTCAAATATTAATGTTTTTTTTAGAATCTTTTGTCCTGCCCTTCACTCTCCACATCCACGGTCTATGAGAAATCTGATCCCTCACGGCATCTCAATAGCTGTATATGACAGATTTTACATAAGCCAGTTTCTTCCCAAATCACCTAATCCAGTTATTTCTTTTGGCTTCACATTACAGTTTATATTCAGTGTAATATTTTTGGTTTCATAATTAAAGTCCTAAATCAACTGTTTTTTTTTTTCAGTATAATTTAATTACTTCTTAATATCCTTCCTCTCCTAAAAAAGCTAATCTGCTTTTCAAAACCACCATGATTAAGAACACAAAAAGTCTGGATTCCAGAACCAAAACGATCTGGATTTGAGGATTTGAATCTCAACTCCATCTCTGCTCTTCGGTCACCTGGCCTCAGGCAAGTTGCCTAATCTTTGAATCCTACTTCCTTAATGTGTCAAATAGAGATAATGCTCCCGATCTTACAGAGCTTTTAGGAAAAGTAAAGAAAACAACAAATGGAATACATTTTAGCAGTGTCTGGCATATGTAGTATAGTAAACAATACACTGTGGTGATTATGGGCTCTGATAACTCTATTTCCCATGTGGGTTATTTTCCAGTAGTATCTGAGCTTGCCACATTCCAGCAATTTCCTCTCCTTGTCTATGTCTACCACGTTCTTCTAACTTAACCATTCCAAGAACTCCCTGTGTGTAAACTGTCCTTCTGACATTTGCGCTCTCACTCCATGGGGGCATCTGCTACCTTGCCTCTGTGCTGGGCTCATGCAGACTCTTCTTCACAGTAACCACCTGCCTGTCCATCTTCTCAGGACACACAGTGGCAAGGCCCTCTGAAATTAGCCCACTTTAGACAGTGTTCCTAATTATATCACAAAGTACACAGGACAGAACAAGAAATTTAAATTCTGTTTCTTATGTTAGCCACCCACTGAGAATGCAACGATGTGCTTCATACAAACTATTATGATGATAAAGCCAGTCAAATGAAAGGAATCCTGTCTGGTTCAAGATACGGGCACTATGACTATACACAGCAACCACCAATCCCAGCCCTCCCGATTTGAGTCTTCATGGAAGGCTCTCCATCAGGTGTGAATGAAAGGTGGGTTCCTCTGCTGGGAGGCTTCTGTTGGTTCCCAGTAGACTTCCAAATTAAACTCGGCCTTTTTTTCTAGATTTCTCTCAGAAGAGGAATGTAGTGTATATTCTAAGAGGTCAAATGAATCCTTATCTTAAGGGAGCAAAGGACGAGGATGGGCAAAAAACTTCATCTTAGGACAAACCATAGACTCTCTCAGTCTGCTTTGGGGTCACAAACTGAAGAGTCTAACATGATTACATCAAAGTACAACATTCAGCAGCACTCCTCAGGGGAGGCCAACAGTAGGGCTAATTAATGTACTTCCCATCAGACTTGGCAGAAGTAACAAAAAGTACCTTGCTTACTTCTCAGCTAATATTTAAATGTCACTTCCTGCTTGCTAAGTTTGACCTCACAGATCTCAGAATATCTATCAACTTCCATCACTGCTATATATTTATAATCAGGCATGCAATTATCATGCATGAACATTTGTGTGACCCAATTAGGCATTTATAAATTTCTCTGGTTCTTGATGTAAGTAGTATAAATAACAATACCACTACTACTAATGATAATACTAATAAAATAAGCTTCATGGAGAGGTACAAGAAAGAATGCCATTTTTATGCTGAACATCCTTTCTTTTTAGGAACCTCCCAATGGGAACTGGAAATGGACGCTGGTAAACCACTGAGCTTACAGAAATGAGAAAGAAAACAGTCTGCTGCCAGCACTGGTGCATCTCACCTGAACCCAACAATCGGACATTCTTTACAGATGTTGCATTTGGCCTGATGTTTTGCAGTCTCAGCTGCTGCCACTCGATGTAAGACTGGCAGCCACACCATGGACTGCGGCTCCAAACGCATCCAGTCTATAAACTCCTTCACGCTTATCTCAGGCTTGTTGTTATTCTGGTGAAGAAACAAATATGTTAAGAGCGGAGAGAACGGCTTCACGTAAACTGCAGCTACATAATCTTCTGAGAATCTGTGCAGAAGGGGAAAGTTACATAACTCTTTCCAGGTCAGTTAAGTCACAAAAGCTTTAAGGTTCTCCCAGGCAAGAAAATTCCAGAAATTAAAAGTAGAAAAAGCAGGCTGGGCATGGTGGCTCATGCTTGTAATCGTAGCACTCTGGGAGGCCGAGGCGGGTGGATTACTTGAGCTCAGGCGTTAGAGACCAGCCTGAGCAAGAGTGAGATCCTGTCTCCATTAAAAATAGAAAAAAACAAAACAAAACAATTTTGCCGGGCATTGTGGTGGGTGCCTATAGTCCCAGCTACTTGGGAGGCTGAAACAGAAGGATCACTTGAGCCCAGGAGTTTGAGGTTGCTGGGACCTATGAAGTCATAGCACTCAACTGAGTGAGACTACTCTGTCCCCCAAAAAGAAAAAAAAAAGTAGAAAAAGCAGAAATTGTTATACAGGAAGAAGATAAAAATACTACTACTTTAATATACTCAGATTAAAAGAAAAAAAAGCAAACCCCAAACCACACAATTCTAGGTCACCTGTTCACACAAATAATTTAATTCTATAAAGTTCATTCATATACGACAATAAAAATTTGTTCCAGTAAAGACTCACTGATAAATGTTACACAGCTGGAGGCTGCTGTAAATGCCAAGCAAAGGCCTGTTACGTCACCACACTGGAGGCTTTGTTATAAAGAATGTACTTTGCAGGATTTTCAAATTCATCACGAGAAATTATACAAAACTTCTCAATCCCACTTCAAATCTAATTTTCATATGTGCAGAATTAAATCTCTACCAGTATTGGCTCAGCCCCTATAGCTCAGTGAGTAGGGTGTGGGCCACATATACTGAAGCTGGTGGGTCCGAGCCTGGCCCGGGCCTGCTAAACAACAATGACGACTGCAACCAAAAATAGCCAGGCATTGTGGTGGGTGCCTGTAGTCCCAGCTACTTGGGAGGCTAAGGCAAGAGAATTGCTTAAGCCCAAGAGCATGAGGTTGCCGTGAGCTGTCACGTGATGGCACTCTACTGAGGGTAACATAGTGAGACTCAAAAAAAAAAAAAAAAAATTTTCTACCAACATCATTCTCCTGCTGTGTTGAGGTCATTCTGTGAACCAACACATGTGACTATAAATCATATTTAGAATTTTCAGTTGGTTTTTTTTTTTTGTATTTCTAAAATAAGAAAAAAGGCCATTATAAAATGTAATAACCCATGACATCAATTCTTCTCAAAGATATGGTGTGAGCATTTTTTTTTTTTCCTCAGCAAAGATAAATCACTGGCTGTGCTTTGGCAAAATGTCTGTAGGCTTGTACTTCATGCATACGTGCAACACCAGTAGTAATATTTCTAAATGCCTTATACACGGTAAACATTAAAGAGAAACTAAAATACTTTCCTAGTTTAATATGAGCAACTTGGATCAGTATGAAACTTTGTACATCATTCATTTTTTGCACGTATATTGTCAAAGAGAATACTATTTTAATAATATCTTTATATTTTAAAAAAATCTTACCTAGAAAGAACACAGGGCATTTTTATTTATTGATTTAATGAAGATTTATTAAAGTAGCTATGATATTCAAGGCACTTTACACAGGGATGTGCTATATTCTATATGTTTGTGTCTTCCCAAAATTCATATATTAAAACTTAACTCTTAAGGGAACGGTATTAGGAGGTGGACCCTTTGGCAGGTGTTTAGGTCATGAGGGTGGGGCCATCATGAAGGGGATTAGTGGCCTTATAAAACAGGCTTGAGGGAGCTCATTCACTCCTTCCACCACATGAGGACACAGCAAGAGGGCAAAATGAACCAGAAAATGGGGCTTTATCAAGTGCTGAATCTACTTGGCACCCTAATCTTGGGCTTCTCAGCTTCTAGAATTGTGAAAATAAATTTCTGTTGTTTATAAGCCACCCAGTTTATGGTATTCTGTTACTGCACTCTGGATGGTGTGAGACAGAACACAGCAGGAAAAAGACATAGTCTTTGCTTTGAGAGCTTAGATTCCTATAGAAGAAACAAACACCAAGCAATGAATTAGATACAGTTCAGCCTGGAACTGTAACTGTGATGATGAGCATGAGAAGGAAGAGAAAGAGGATATTAAGATGAACACAGTAGAAAACCACAATCTCCTCTGAAAAAGTGAGAGAAAGATTTCAGGAAGACATGAGAGTTAAGCTAAAAGGCAAGAGGGAATAAGGATCAGGAATGAGAAGGGAGTTAGTGGGCAGAGAGGAAGGAGGGGAATTCTGAACAAGAGGCACAGTCCAAAGGCTCTAAGGCAGGAATCGGGGCACTAACATCGCCTGGCTGCAAAGCACAGAGGAAGGGGAGGTGTGGAAATGAGGAAGCCAGGGTGTGGGGAAAAAGGAAAATCTTTAACCTCACAGCACAGGTTAAAGATTCCAGATTATATCCAAAGAAAAACAGTAAGCGTCCTTGCAGGGGTCACTATTCCTCAAATCAAATACGCCTTAAGAAATAAAATACAAACGTACTGGTACCCAAAGTCTTCCACCGCTTGGTCTCGGCATGAACTCCCTACTGCATTTCTCAGAACATCCTCTCCACCCCTCCCCACCATGCGCTGTGCTGATCTTTGCGCTTACCTGTTGGAAGCAGCTGCGGACACTAGGCTCAATGTTACTGCCTCCGAAAGCCGCTACTTCTCCCAGCTGCCGGGGGATCTGGATGGCATCATGAAGCAACAGGCCCAGCTGCCTCTGGTCACACATTTCCGTGGGCCCCGCCACCTCCTTGAAGAGAACTGCAAGCAGAAGCCAGAGGGCTAGTACCTTCCCTTCGCTACAGTGCTCTTTTACTTAAAGCATGCCTTTGGGAATGTGGATTGAACTGTGCACATTACAAAAAAAATTTCAGGGGGACGTGAATCAGATGATTTGTCTCCTGAAGTCCAGTGATTTTAATATTCTGTGGGTCTGTAACCAGGAAGTAGTTACCCATGTGCTTCTTCACATAATCTAATATCCCCTGTGCATACCTATAAATAGATCAATAAAGACGTATTTGCTTCGTAGTGAGACAAATGGTTGTGGGTTAATTTTATCGTCTTTGTAGGGACTTTTCTGCTTCCTGAGGAAGATAATGAACTAAAACAAAGCTGCTCTCATGACTTGTCAAAGGAATAAATATACCTTAAATAACCGACCTTTAAATTTCAACAGATTTGTTTACAAAAGTTTTATGTTCACTCCTAAATTCAATATTCTATTAAATATATGTTTTTAGCTTCTTCTAAAGATTTTTATGCTCAAATCTATTTTATGTAAAAAACATTAAAAAGTCCAAGAACTTGTATTTAGTTGTTTCTAGGGCCAATCGATTTTTATTCCCTTTTCCATTCATAAAAAACCATTGATCTATTTTATAATTTTTTAATTTAATAAAATATATACTTCTTTGCAGTATTGAGTCATCTTCTATTCACCATATGCAATATTTTGAAGATTAAAATTCTTACTGTATTTCCAATAATAAAGCTAATATGCTGAGAGGTTACTTTTGGAATAGGGAAGAGTTTCAAAGAAAAACAATCCACTTTCTTATAGAAATTAACAGTTTATGGGAAGACATTTTCCGGTTCTAAAAATTCAAGAGCACACAAAATCTAAAGTCTTTCATATGAAGTTATCCGTGAATAGAACAAAAGTAATATTTATTTAATCCTAAAAAATATTTGTAGGCAATACCTGATAAATGACTATCAGACTGAAATACATCATTCTCTTTTTAAAAGGAAATAATGTCAAATCTAACACTGTCAACAGTGGATTTTGAAACTACTAAACTAAGTGTGGTGATATTGACACAGTAATTCCAATGAAATGTGGCTTCAATTATAAGTATGCATACAGCAAAGAATTCAATTAAGATAAATTATTTTTATTATTATTTCACTTCAATTTGGTTAGAGCTCTACTTGTGTTTGTTCATTTTTTAACAAATAAGACTATCATAGCCAAAAATATTTATCTAGGAGTTTTATTATGATGCTCATTTTAAACCTGATCCTGGGAAGAGGCTTATTAAATAAATATGAAGTTGATGCATAAGTGTAATAATCTCTACAGAGAAGGGCACATTTTCAGCAAGATCAACTGTGCCCACCCTTTCCTCTTGTGAGGCAAGTAGCCACACTACTCTGCTTCTAGTAAGGGACTCACATAAAACCTAAGAAGAAAAATGTCCTTCAACATTTTAGCATATTTCTAAACTCTTTAAAGAGTGCACTTTTTTAACGTTATATTCAGACATAAAAGCTGATGGCAGGGTGTGGGAGTGGGTCACAAGAGGAAAGCCACCATCTAAAGCCCAAATCCCTGCACAAACACCAGGATATTGTTAGAACCTAATCTGGGATATTTTCAGGAGACCATGAAGACAGAGGTGCAGGAGGGTGAAGCCCACCCCCACACAATGGCCATTAAAGCTCAACATTCAGATGGATACCACACGACCCTGGACGGTGCCTTTGCTATTGAGTTTGAACAGCAAATTGTCTTAAATATTAATTCTAACAAAGGAAATAATAACGAGGAGGTGTTCTGACATCACTGGAATCAGAGTTGCTAAGGATCCAAAGTAAAAAGCAAAAACAAAACCCCAAAATATTCTAGAGTTTGGATAGCCCAGAAAAGACCTAGAGTAAAACTTGCAACCCAAGAGATTTCCTATTTAATTAAGTCCTGAAATTGCATACTTTGTGGATTAAATTAAATATCAGAAATTTTCATCACAGAGGCTTTGGCTTTCCCTGCCCAAATCTGCAAGTTGAATGTTGAATTATGGTAAGTAGAAGCTTTGAGGTTGAATTTGCATTTGTTTCAAATACAGCTCCATAATGGGGTCTGTTACTTTCAGAGAAACCTACTTCTTTCAGGAGCACAAGAAAACCTTGACTCCTAGATGAAATACACATCCTTTACTAATTTTGGAACTCTGATGCTTTCATTAACATTTTCATTTCTGTATCATTGTAGAAACTACTTTGGAAATTAAAGTCTTTTCACCATTGTGATGCTGAAGACTACTGAAATTCCGGATAAATTGCCACAAAACAAAAGCATCAGGCGAGCGTTTTTCTGCCTGGCTTACTAGACTCTCACTCCATCACCCCGGATCTTACAATCAGCTTTTAACTTTATACAAATCCATGCACGTTTTCACTGACATTTTTGACAAACTACGTAGGACAAGCAAGCCATCATGTTCTGGATATGAAATTCAAAATCACACAACCTCAGAGTGATCCCGGAAAGTGAAAGTTTTTGAAATGTTTGAATGTTCACCTAAGACACAAAACTTAAAGTTTATGGGACCTATGATCAAATATCCTCTTCCTTTTTGGAATCATTCAATTCATGAAATGTCCTTAACTTTCTCCCACAAACAAATGTGGATTTATTAGTAAACAACCATTTGGGAATATGCATGGCAGGATTGAGTTACTCACATTTTAGGGACAAAATTAAATCAACAGATATGTTATATGTGTTAAGAGTTTGGAGACTTAGCAGCAACTGCTACCATTTATTTACCACCTGCTATTTCTAGGTACTTTAAACATGTTATCTTTAATCCCTTTTGAAACAGGAATTATCTGCTTCAGTTTTCAGTTGAAGAAAGTTCACTAAATTTCAGCCTCCTGAACTGTGAAAGGGGTAATATTGCCTCTTATGCAGCAGCATTCAGTGGAATTATAGAACCTGCCAAATACACTGGGCTATTAAGTGGTAGAGATTTGAAGGCAGGTCTTTCTGGCTCCTGTGCTTGTGCCCCTCCCAATGCCAAGATGCCTTTTATTAACTGGCAACTAAAGGGGCACCACTGATTTATTAGGGGAAATATGGATAATATTTGTATTATTTGATTCAATAATAAAAACCAAAAAGACTTTTATTGCTTTTAATTTTGTCACAACAATAAAATACTGTGCATTTGAGCTTATCTTCTGGGTATGTCCATAAAGGCTCTAAACCATTTTAACTTTTTTTTTCTTAAGCATTGGAAGTATACAGAAATAGAAAAAAATGGGGCGATTTGGAGAACAAAAATTTTAAGATCTATTTCTAACCCCATGCCTTGCTGGATTCTTAATCTACCTCACCATTCATTTTCTTTTCTTTTCTTTCTTTCTTTTTTTTTTTTTTTTTTGAGACAGAGTCTGAAGCTGTCACTCTGGGTAGAGTGCCATTGCATCACAGCTCATAGCAACCTCAAACTCTTAGGCGTAAGCAATTCTCTTGCCTCAGCCTCCCAAGTAGCTGGGACTGCAGGTGCCCACCACAATGCCCAGCTAGTTTTTTTTGTTGTTGTTGTTGTAGTTGTCATTGTTGTTTGGCAGGCCCGGGCGGATTTGAATCTGCCAGCTCCAGTGTATGTGGCTGGTACCCTAGCCGCCTGAGCTACAGGTGCTGAGCCACACCATTCATTTTCTCAGCTGGAAAATGGAAATCCCAATGCCTACACTATGGGGAGATTATTCTAATAATTCAATGAGATATAATTTGTAGTCAGTTCTCAGTCCATCAAGGCACCACACCTCTTAGACCTATAATTAATTAGCTTTTAAGCCCAAATCTTTTTGCAACCCTTTGTCTAACTTGGTACACACAGAGTAAGGGTTAAAAACATGGAAGCTGTTATTACTAGCAGATCATTCAAAGTAAGTCCCCAATAAAATTTTTATGATAATTATTATTACTAACAACACTTAAAGGTCTTACATACATCTGTATTTTTCCTCCAGAAGACCTTTAGAGAGAGACATCAATCCAATCTTCAGACTCTGCACTCTAATTTTTCCAGTTCGACCCCTGAAATTATAGGAATTTTAATGTAGTTAAATGCATGTAAAACTGTATACTGTATGTCAATTATTTCTGAATATCCATTTTCTTGAGGGCAAATCATTAAAACACAATTGCATATTAAAGATATAATTTTCTATACACTTCAACAATTAATATTAAACCTTGGTCACAATTTCACAACATATTTTAAGAGTGTGTTTGGCTAAGTCTGGAAGAAAACTCAGCCAGAAGTCATTTTACATCTAACACATGAATAAGAAGAACAAATTATTATTTTTTTTTTTTAGATGGAGCCTCAAGCTATCCCCCTGGGTAGAGTGCCATGGCATCATAGCTCACAGAACCCTCCAACTCCGGGGCTCAAGCAAGTCTCCTGCCTCAGCCTCCCAAGTAGCTGGGACTACAGGCGCCTGCCACAGTGCCCGGCCATTTTTTGGTTGCAGCCATCATTGTTGTCTGGTGGGCCCGGGCTGGGGATTCGAACACACTACCTTAGGTGTATGTGGCTGGCGCCTTAGCCGCTTGAGCCACAGGCGCTGAGCCAAGAAGAACAAATTAAAGCAAAATGAAAATGGTAATTATAAAGCTGAAAAGATTTTATACTCATAAATGTTATAAATTAAAACCTATCTGTTAATAATTATAAATCTAAGATTCAAATTAGCTAGAACTACATCTACACAGTACACATGACTTATTACAGCAAGTGAAGCCTAGTGATATATCTAAAAACAAATGTTAAGAAAACTGATTGGAAAATTAGCTCTATCCGACGGCTTGCAACCTCCCGAGTACTTAAACACTCTTTGTCTTCGTTCACTTTGGTCTCTATCAGTGCAGTTTCTGCAAATTACTATTGTAATTTTAAGAGTCGACCTTAGACAGGTGTGAAATCTCTATGTGGGGAACTATCAAATTATAATTAAAACAGAATGCATTAATTAATCAACAGTAGGGAATAGTTTCAGACTATGCTAATGAGAAACTATTTCAATTTCACTTAAAAGTTGACTAGGTGAAAAATTTTATTTTATCACGAAACGCGGGGAATTGTTTTATTTGATAGCTTATCAAGGAATTACTGAATTAATTATCTACCAAATTTTAAGTCACAGTCCTAGATCCTAGGGATTTAAAAAAAACTGTAAAAATAATACGATATGATTCTGGCCATGGAATAGCACATACTGCAGAGAGAAGTCTTTAGTACCATCTTTATGCTCCAGATTCAGGAATGTTTTCAGTTTAGGTTTTTATTGTCAATTTTCTGATGATATGTTTTTTAACACACAAACACAGTACACCGAAAGCCTATAACCAAATGTTTCCACAATCATATGAATACATACAATTTAGTAATTTATAGTATTTTTTTTTTTTT